CCAACACTGGTCACCACCCATCTTGAGGAGTTTGCCCCCTCACATATACTAATGTGCCACAAACAGGACTTTAATATCACCAACCATTCCCATGTTATTACGGTGTATCCATATAAATGGCCCACCCTGTAGATTACAATAACAGGCTATGATCAGTTAAATATGTAACAATATGAATATCCTTGCACAATGTTCCCAAATAAGGTTTTTGTTGAAAACAATATAAGGTTGTGATCAAAAACATTTTAAATTTGACATTGATTCCTAAACAATAAAACTGATGTTACTAAGTAATGAAATTAATGTGTTATATCCACATAAAAGTATTTCAAAATTATGTCAAGCCTTTTAAAATGGGTTTTAACAGAGCAAATAACAAAACTCTCAGAGTGCTTCTTGTCACAATCCAGAGTTTTTCTTGTTGCTACATTTCTGCTAAAAATATTATCTGTATTTCTCCTCTCTGTTATCTCTTCCTCCTAAAATGCACAATCTGCGCTGTGTTGTTTTATTTTGAAAGTCATCACAGGAAGCTATCAGACATCATCCTGTTTCACTTCACACTGAGAGGCACATCTTTGATTTCATGCAAAGTAAGCAGGAGCTGCAGGTTTGTGTTTTAGTTTCTTAGACTGAGATTTTCTTTTAAATGTGACTGATGCAACAACAGGCTGTGTGTGTGTGTGTGTGTGTGTGTGTGTGTGTGTGTGTGTGTGTGTGTGTGTGTGTGTGTGTGTGTGTGTGTGTGTTTGTGCGCGCTTTCATACTGAAAAGGATCATGTGGAATACTTTCATGGAGACATCCTGACACTGAAGACACAAGGTAAGAAAACAACAACAAAGACAAAACAAAAGTTAATCTTAATTCATTTTGGTAAAAGTTGCTTCCGGTTTTTATCAGAATTTCTGTTTTTACGATACGACAAAACATCTCCAGCTAGAAACAAACCTCTAAATAAGCATGTCGTGTGAAGTATATCCCAGGTTCTTTCAGTGCAAGTACACATCATCTAAAAAATATGAATGAACCAATCAGTGACCGAGTGTGAACAGTGAAGCTCAGTGAGAACCGCAGCAGTGTGCTTGTACAGTGTGTTTCAGTGTGCTTTTAGATGAGTGGGCTCGGTTCAGTACAGTCCACAGTGGGCAGAGAGGTTCATCAGTTCACATGAATGCTGGCAGTGGACCTTCTCCCCTCCTCCTCTCACTTTCATTCCTTTTCATCCCGTCCTCTTTCAAACTCGTCTTTTGTTCAGCGACGGTCTCTGCTTTCATCGTTTGCCACTGACTTCCTTGTAAATCTGAAATCTGAAATCGGTGTCCATGTGTCAGACGTGTAGAGGCTGTAAAAGTAGCAGATAAACACGACCGTGTAATGACAAGAAATGCAAACGAGTATGCTGATGAACCCCTGTTCTGTAGTGCAAGCATTCCCATTCCCTTGTCACTGTCCTTTCCCCCAGGATGTCTTGGCCCGCTCTGTACACTCAGTTGGTCGGGGCGAACCGTCATGCCACCAGCCTGGGTAAAATCTGGCTCTCTGTGCTTTTTATTTTCCGGGTCATGGTGCTGGTTGTTGCCGCGGAGAGCGTCTGGGGGGACGAGCAGTCTGACTTCACCTGTAACACATTGCAGGTAGGACGTGTCCATTTTTACATCCGATCCACACATGGGATGTAAGTTATAATGACACTTATTTGTTAAAATAAGATTTGGGTTTTATTGTCTGAGCTTGAATTCTGCAGCTCAAAGAATCATTCTCTCACCCCTAGTTCTCGAAGAATACAGAATCTACTCTTCTCACTGGTTTTAATAGATGGCTTCTCTCCACTGGTTTCCTGTCTAAGAACTGACTTCAAAGTTATACTGTAAAGTTTTATACTACATAAAGTATTAATAATCTAAAAAGTAGTCACTATCTATCACCACTTAATATTTTTATTGTGCTTTTATTGTGTCGGGCGCCACTCCTGTCAGCCAGGAAACGGAGACGCTGTGACAAGTTTAAATGACAGCTGAGTGATGGCATGGACCGCAGTATCAGAGGAGTGTTTTGAGCTCTTTGTTGAATTGGTGCCACGAAGAATTAAGACAATTCTGAAGGCAAAAACAGGTTCATCCCTAACCCTGTTTCCGGTGTCCTATTTGCGCCTTGTTTACGGTCCAAAACAAGTTAAGCAAGTGAATGAATCAAGCGGCGATTTACATTTCTCTAGATGTCTTGGGCATTTACCCAATATATCTGTAAATGATGTTCATCGACTTGTTGATATTTTTCCCCCGCGCCTCAGAGCAAAAGAGAAAAGGGATTCAAATGTTATATTTCTCAGCTGTCCTTCGTTTATCGTGGGTGTTATGTTCTAAAAAATAACCAGCAATAGGTGAAATCAAGTAGCCAATTTTATTTTTTGAAGGTGCAAAACGTTTTGTGGACATTGTCGACATACAGTTCTGCACTTCAGAGTCACACTGCTAGCGATCGATGCAGCGATTCTGTACTGTACAGGAGAGACGTCACGGAGGAGATCGTCTGCAGCGATCAGGACGCAGGACACAATGTGATGTAAAAATAAGCATGCAAACTTGCACTAAAAAATCCGCGAAACAGCGAGGTGAAAGGTGAACGGGGTTATTAGCGAGGGACCGCTGTAATTTTGAAGGTAAGTCACAACATACCCTTCGTAAATACTAATGCATAGAAACCCTTACCAGCAATCGTTCATTTTTTGTGTGGCTTTTTTTCACGGTTTGTTGACATGCTGTGTAGGTGTGTACTTGACTAGCTGATATCGACATAACAGGGAAACATCTGGTTTGACTATTCTTCACCTGTAGTTTGAATGCTGAACATTTGCCTGTTTAAATCATAAGACCAGTCACTATACAGAGATGTGCTTCTGAATGTGGACGATGTGTCTTCTGCTGCAGTAATGCAGTTCTGCTTGTGTTGAGTGATGTAAACAACTGATCAATCTAAACTCTTTAAACGTCAAAATTGATCATTAGATTTTTTATCACACAACAGTGGCGAGTGTTCCCACCTTCTGCTCTTTGTAACTTAACGCAATCTTTCCGTTTTCGTGTTTTGGACATGATTTTGGAGTATATCTTCGCAGTAGCGATTGACCGCAAAGTAAAGCTACCGGAAATGTACAACCCCACATCCGGTCTCAAACCAGGAAGTTAGCATTTTCTCGTGCACAGGGTCTAGTAACTATACACTGATGTTGTCATAATTGTGACGATCATGGTTGGTTTGTTTTTCCCTCAGCCTGGCTGTGAAAACGTCTGCTATGATCAGTTCTTTCCTGTGTCCCACATCCGTCTCTGGTGTCTTCAGCTTGTCTTTGTCTCCACGCCAACACTCCTGGTTGCCATGTATGTGGCCTATCGTAACCACAGAGATAAGAGGAAGCTCCTTCAGGTGTGTGCATTGTTTTATTATGATTACGGCAAAGTCATCGTGATGACAGACAAAATGATGATGTCATTTGGGGCAGCTGTGACAGAGACCTAATTTGCCCCCAATGCATCAATCAGTGTGTGTAAGTTAATATTAGATAAAAAGGCACTTAGGCATGTATGAATGTGTGTGTTTGGGTGAATGAGACTTGTAGTAGAAAGCTCTTTGAGTGCTCAAATGATCTCATCCTGTGCGACAGAGTCCTGGTAGAGCTGGGTTTCTCAGTGCAAAGGGCCAAGATGAGGAGTTAGAGACTCTGAAAAAGCGGAGGCTCCCAATAGCTGGTGCCCTCTGGTGGACATATGCCTGCAGCCTGGTGTTCAGGCTGCTGTTTGAAGCAGGATTCATGTAAGATCAGTGCTTCCTTTTTCCGTCAGTCTCAGATGGCTGTTTTGGTTTGATGGTACGATATCTGTGTCTCCAGGTATGCTCTGTATGTGGTGTACGATGGTTTCCAGATGCCACGGCTGGTGCAATGTGATCAATGGCCATGTCCTAACCTGGTGGACTGCTTCATCTCACGTCCAACTGAGAAAACCATCTTCACTGTTTTCATGGCCACTACCTCATCTATCTGCATGGTCCTTAACATGGCTGAACTTGTATATCTTGTCATCAAGGCTGTCTCTAGGTAATAGTATTAATCAGACAGTCAGGTGATTAATCAGCTGATTGACGCAATTCTTTTGTGCATTATTTTTGTTTTTGAGTTTTAAGCTGTGCATTCCATATGCACTTCTTTATATTATATATAATTTATTTATTTTTTCTTGTAGGGGTCTGTGTGATCAGAAGGAGAGGAAATTAGGCAGCAGAGAGAAGATGCGGATCAGGACTAACCAGAAGTCACTTGTTTCAACCTGATTTTGAAATGTAGCTAGAAGACGGAGGGTGGAGAAGAAACTGATAAAAACATTGTCATTTTAGAGATATAATGCATGTGTGAGAATCATAAATGTAAATACAACTCACAAATTGGACATTTTCAATGATAATCTATAGAAAATCAAGGGGTGGAGAGGATGTTAGCATCTTAAAACTATACTTTCATGTTAAATGAGGTTGTATGTAGATAAGCTGTTTAACAAATAAAAATATAAATACATCATGTGTATTTAACTACATGTGTTTAATGTTGAAGTCATTTTAAATACTTTTTATTCTGTTCAATGTCCAGAATCATGTTCTATAAATTGTTTGTAGAAAGAAAAAAATGGGGACAGCTACAATTTCCTATGAGTACAAAGCAAACAGACCACAAGAAGGCAGTAATGTAAAGCAGCAGTCCCCAACCCCCGGGCCTTGTCCTGATTGAAAGGTCCTGATGAAAAGCCACTGATGTACAAATATTTACAAAAAGTTGTATTTTTCATAATAATTAATTGAATGCAAAAATTCTCCAGATAACATTTAATCTTCTTTTCATTTGACTGGTTATGTAGTTTATTCTTATGATATTTATGATGTTTGTTTTTAAAGGAATGAAAAAGACAAACCCATGAATTCTTTTGTTCTGTAATGAGATACTGTACTCTGCTGACCCCTGCTGGTGAGCAAACAGGTCTGCAACAATTCCTTCCCCTACCCAGAGGGACTTTTTTTGGGTGACACAAAACTAAGTGATAACATAGGTGAATAGATGGTGTCACCCCATTCTTTGTAGTTGTTAAGAAGCAACAACAAAAAACTTGTTTTCTTTTACAGAAAAAGAAAAAACTTTGCAACATTTTGGAGTGAAAAAAGGTTTTTAAAAAAGCTACAGTGACATTTAGAATTTATTTGTCTCTGCCTGCATTCTTAAGACTGTGGATGTTATTTATCACTCTACTTTTCATATTTATTCCAGTCAACATTTATACTATGAATCACTTAATCTCACATGAATACTGAGGTAGTCTTTTCTGTTTAAAAGATGTGAAAATGGGCTATATGTCAGTGTTTAATTATAAGGCTGTCATTTGGTGGATAGAATTCATTTTATTGTACACTGGCGCTCTGGGCCATATTAAGCTTGGCCACACGGCTGACTATTGCTGCAAGATTTTCATGTCTGTACTAAGCTTGGGATAACTGGTTTTAGTTTCTGTGTTTTCTGCTTCTGTTTATATTTTGTCTTTACATTTGTATTTTGTTGTGTTTAATTTCTGTTATCCTGTATCTTTTATTATTAAAACTTGATGGTGTTTAATGTGTCTACTCTTTTAAATTTCATTTAAAATATCATCTTTGTAACTGAATGTAATTTACTTGTAACTAAATGCCATGTATGTAATGTAACACTTTAACATGTAAATTCCTTTTGGGGGCTAAAAACTGTTGCAATATGAAGAACTTGTAGAAAGATGAGCTTACTTTTACACTTCAATTTTTGTCTGTTTATTTCTGATTTCTCCATTTTTGACATCAGTAATCTTCCATATTGATGTTTATTTGTAATGACAGTAAAAAAGCTAGTAAGTTATTAGCTAATACCCAGAGGGTGTTTTACCTCATACTGCATTAAAAAAAAAAAGGAACAATCCAAATATATATTTTTCCCTTAACAGAAGTTGTTAAAGAAAATTTTTGTCTGGTCAGGAATGTGATAGTTGCGTTACACCACATATACACGCGCGCGCACTCAAACGCGCGCCTTCCCCTTACCACCCCCCTCCTGCGCCCCTTGCACGGGGACATCAATGTTTGACAGTGGCGGATGGCCTTGGCCACGCGGGACGCAGCCGCTGTGCTTCGCCTTCGCGGGACAGGTTCCACACGCGCCCTTTTTTTTAGACTAGACTAGCCTCGCGTATTCTTCTTTTCTTTTTCCCTCCTTTTTTGTTGTTAACTTTCTCTCTCTGTTACTCTGTGTATTGCTCTCTCTGTGTCTCTCTCCCTCCCTTCTTCTCCCTTCTATCAATCTGCCCAATCTTCTCTTGGTTGCCCCGAGAACCTCCGTGGGACTAAAAGAAAAAAGAAGAGAAGAAACGCGGTAAGCAGGGTCACCGTAGAGTGATGCTGGAGGCTGAAGTGGGAGGGAAGAGGGATTATCATCTTTCCACCTGCTGGATTATCAGCACCTCTCATGATGCGTTCACATCCACGTGGGAAAGACGGCAGACAGGAAGCCACAAATCCAAACCAATATCGTCCAGGCTTAAATAATCTTTGGGAAAAAAGAATGCATTTTGTGGGGTCTTAGGCTAGATTTTGATACTTTAGTTAAAAAATAAGTTTTTTTTTTAAAGAGTCATGGACAAGAAACTAATGGAAAACAGGCGGTAGGACTGTTTTTTGTTTTTAAATAAATTTGAGGTCAACTGTAGGGAAGCTTACATTTTAGTTTTGATGGCTATTTAAATGCAACCATTGCTAGTTGTTTATCTTTTGTATAGGAGACACACTGTCTAATGTTACCACGAAAGGAAGAACCTTCCTGTAGTTTTTCTGCTTGTTGGAATTGTACTGTGTGACTTGCTGTAGTAAATGGAGGAAATAAGTTGCTGCTCCTAACCAGCCAACCAGCTGCTGAATTGATTATTTCCATACTCTCTTTAGATGCTGTGTGCCATTCTATAAATCTTTGCACACTTTAAAAAAAAAATGTTTTGTACTTTTAGTATCTTAGGCAACTTTGGGCCCATTTATTCACTTGTGTGTACAGTTACAAACTCTTTCCACATTTTTGGAATGGCACTTTTAGACATACATTTACATTTTTAATATATGTATCAAAAATATCTTCTCTTAAAAGCAAACTGCATTTAATCATCTTCAGTACTATTTCACACCATGTGAAACTAATTGCTTAAACACTGAGCACGGTCTTCTCAAGTTTCTGGATATACACTAGGGTAGTTGATTAACTGAGTAATGAACAGAATTGTCTTTTATTGTGACTGTGCATATTTTCGGATTTCGTTGTGCAAATGGCAGGCCAGGAGTTAACTGTTTGGGCTGTTTTAGCACAAAGACCTCTGATCCATCAAAAGCACACAGCAGCCAGAACAATATCCATCTGGCAGCTTCCCTATTGTCTGCCATGGCCGATGGTATTTCATCACGTCAACACATCATGTACATGTACACATACCACCGTTAGACTGGTGAATTAGTAGCCATTTGTCATTTGAGAATATGTTTCACGTGTAAGACATCTGAAAAGTCTTTGTTATTTATTTATTTGTGTTTCTAAGCAGTTTTTTAAGAACACAGTTAAATCAAGACCACGATATTTCCTTTCTGTCTATGGAGCTTCCGTTCTCTCTCTTGCTCTTTTTCTTTTACTCGGTTGACCTACCTCTCATCAGACAAAAATTCCTGGATTTACATTTTATTTTGGAAGTAAGTTACACAGTATGCAGGAGTACAGAACACTGCTGAAACTTTAGAATGCGTGTATATGTTTGTGTGCGTTCATATCAGTGAATCCCAGGCAAACATTTGCCCCCATCAGCATTCCTGGGATGTGATGAGTCCGGCATTCAACAGCGACAACCTGTTATTCACTCACTTCACTTCTCACAGATGGCCAGCCATTGTCCACTAACCAGCCAGTCTCACATCACACACACATACCAATGCAAGTACACACAAATTTGGCACATCCAAAAGCAAATGTATACCATGGAATAACTATCAAACAATCAGACACATGCAGTGCTACTGTGAGCATTGGATTGCACCAAAATGTCAGATGAAGAAAAAAGAGTGAAATTAAATCAAAGTAGTGATAAATGAGCGCTTTTAAACTGCAGCTACCAATTCTTAGTGGTACACTTTGTTCAGAGTACTTGACTGTTCCGGGTCCTCTGTGGAACCTCTTTCTCCTTTTTCATGTAATTCCACATGGAATCTATGAAGCTAAAACCTGGACTCTGTGAAGATCCAACACATTCTCATCCCAAAACGTAACATACTGACACTATGAGATAAGTTGTCGGTATGTTAAGCTTTCGGAGGCACGAGAACCGTTTGGAATGAATCTACACATGTAAATTTATTTTACGTTCTGATCATGCATCGCTTTGGAAAACACTATCTGATATGGTTAAGGTTAGGGTTAAGGTTACGGTTAGGGCTGGAATACACAGCTGGAATGTGTGTTACCTCCGCGAGCATCATTCTTTTGGATTCCATCCACAATCCGGAGCGTATCATAGGGATGCGGAAGGTTACCTTTGAGATGCCATGGGACGTGACAAATCGTAGTTATGCTACATGTTGGGAATGAGAATGCTCTGAAAGGTCATACCATTCGCTGCCGGACTCAATTTAGCTAGTTCTTTATGTCTTATGCTATGTTTCTGGGGTTTTCATCATGCTGCAGAATTAATTTTGAAGTTATCACTCTATAGACCTGTGTGATTGATAATTTAAAATATCTGAACTGTTTAAAAAATTTGGACAGTTCTTAGCACTGGTACTAATCCTAGCATCAGGTGAGGAGTAACAAGACCCTTTCCGATGCCATACTATAAGTATATGGCATCATTTGTACCTACTGTGCACTAAAATGTTTCTGGTTAAAAAAAAGATTCATATTGGCATCAGCATCAAAAAGCTCTGTATCCTTTTTTGTGTAATGTCTGTATGATGATGAGCCCAAAAAGCTAATACAAAGCATTTTGTGTCTTCCTTCCAGATATAGTTTTTGTTCTGATTTCTGGTCGATGGATTTATCACTGACAACACAACAATATTTTAGTAAGTCAGCTTAATTTGTCTTTTTTTTTTCAAAACAATCCAACTTATTTGAAATTTTATTTTGAAGTCTTTTCTCTTCTTGATTTTAGCATTGAAGTTCGAAAGTAGTTATGCTTTCTGTGCTCAGTTGAAAAGAGCTTTTTGGGCAGCAGCCAAGTTTTTGTAAAATTTCACAGTGAAACACCAAGGTTTAAATGGTAAAAGAAGATATTTCTAGGTATTGTAAGGCAAGATACTGCTTGAGATGTTCATGCAGTTATTTTGTTGGTAAGTATTAACAGCACTCGTTTATATGAAGCAATATTTTAGAATATCAAAGAATTTTGTTTTTGATGATGATAGCCTTTATATTGTAAGGTCTTTACCTTATAATATAAAGCCCCTTGAGACAATTACTGTTGAGATATAAATAAAATTTAATTGTATTGAACTAAATATATGAATAACTGTGGGTTAGATGAATACTTTCAAAAATTTCTAGGCTAAAGAGTTTATAGATGAACTGGCCGTTAGATCTCATTAGGACTTTCTAGTCTGTGTTTGACACAGACTAAAAATGGAACAATGCTAGTTTTTTATGTTTCATGGAAAAGAAGTGTCAAACTGATTAGAGGAAGAGGAAGCAAATGTTTGGCATAAGAAAAAAGGGAAACAGACTGACAGAGATCGAATGATTCCTCATAAACGTCCTGGAAAATACACTCACCGAACACTTGATTAGGACACTTGCTAGTACTGATTTTCAGAACTGGCTTAATTCTTTGTGAATTCAACAAGATGCTGTATACATTCCTCAGAGATTTTGATACATACTGACATGATTTGCTGTGATGAGAGACACAGACACACACAGACACCTACAATCAGACATAGAGACACAAGGTAAAACAGTATCAGCCATAAAAGTTCAGATAAAACCCTAAATACTGACTTTCTGTGGTATTGTTCTTTAATTGACTTTTTGTTGTTCACCATAGACTCTCATGTCTCTCTGCAGGCTAGAAAACTGAGAGAAGCATGGGTGACTGGAGTTTTCTAGGGCGACTGCTGGAGAATGCTCAAGAACACTCCACTGTGATTGGAAAGGTGACCGACTATTGATAACAAAAACATGATCTGTTAAACATATTAAGCTTACCTTTTGATGATTTTCACTGTATTTCCTTTTCATAGAACTTTTGATACGCCAAAATTGTTGATGACATTTTCTGGTTTTCAGTTTGGTAAAGGGTAGACCATACTGACACTGTGGAGAACCCACAAGCTTTAGTTACTTTCTGCATTATCCAGGAAGTACTAACTACTGTGTTTCTAACTGTCATGTTTGTCCGACCCAGGTTTGGCTCACAGTCCTCTTCATCTTTCGAATTTTGGTGCTGGGTGCAGCAGCTGAAGAAGTTTGGGGTGACGAGCAATCAGACTTTACCTGTAACACACAGCAGCCCGGTTGTGAAAACGTTT